AGAAACATCCAAACAGACGTAATTTTCCTAGATTTTGAAAAGGCATTGGACAAGGTACCCCACCGTTGCTTAATGTATAAGCTATCACTGCTGAATCTTGACCCATTTGCATTTAATTGGATCGAAAACTTCCTCCTGGAACGAAAGCAATTTGTCGAAATAAATAGCGCACAGTCTACCACAGCACCCGTTCTGTCCGGTGTACCACACGGTACAGTACTCGGGCCGTTGCTATTCTTAATTTATGTTAATGATCTACCGTCTGACATTTCTAATAACATTTGCATATTTGTGGATGATTGTGTGTTATATTCCAAAATTACATGTAAGCAAGACCAAATTAATCTACAATCTGATCTTTTTCGTATTGAGAATTGGTGTAAAACTTGGCAAATGTCCTTAAACGTACCAAAATGCAAACTAATGTCATTTTCCCGGCGTGCATGCCCAATATTTCACAATTACACCCTTAAAGGCTCTTCATTACAATCCACAAAAGAGTACAAGTACTTAGGCGTCCATATCACCAACAATCTATCTTGGACAGTACACGTGTACAAAGTAATCGCCAGCGCCAGTAGATCCCTCGGGTATCTGCAGCGCAGGATGGAATTTGCTCCTTCAGACTTAAAATTGTTGTCCTATAAAACCCTTATCTGTCCAAAACTAGAATATGCAGCAGCTATATGGGACCCGCACCAGCGTTACCTCATCGACAACATAGAAGCCATACAAAACCGGGCTATTAGATTTGCTTTCTCTGATTTTTCTTCATACACTAGCGTCACAAATCTCAAGTCGCGTGCGTCCCTTCCTCCCCTCAACAACCGTTGGAAACTAGCAAGGCTGGCGTTATTCCATAGGTTTCATTACTCATTATCACCAAACTCCTACGTCACGCCAAAATCGCATCTATACACTCGCACCAAAAACGAACATCAAGTTTCATACTCCCGCCCACGAACTAACACTTTCGCGCAATCCTTCTTTGTTCGGTCAGCCAAAGACTGGAACAATCTTCCCGCTCACGTGGTACAGACCAAAGACCTTGACCAGTTTAAATCGCTGCTTACCGCGCCCGGAATTGTGTAATATCCTCATGTCGTTTTTATGGTTCCCGTTTTTCTGACTTTCATTGTTGTCAGTGAAGGCGAAGTAATGGAGCGTTGCCTTCTGACATCATATCGTTTTCTGTTTTTACCAAATTTATAGCTACCTAGCTCATTGCCGTTGATTGCATTCTGACTTGTATGTTTGCACTATTGTACTGCTGTAAAGCGCGGTTATCCAAGCTGTTTAAACTCTTATTGGTCCCAATGTAAAACATATAGCGTGTCCGGCCATGTAGTTTCTTTTATGCTTCTTCACTCATTTATTGTTGTAACGGTCTTGTATATGGTTATGTTGGTAGCACACCTCCCCCTCACCCCTACCCTCGTTTTTTGTTCTAGTCTGTCACTTGTACCACCCCTCATGTAATGCCTCCTTCGAGGAGGCCCTTCAGGTATGAAAATAAATAAATAAATAAGGATCGGACAGTTCATGAAAGAAAGTAGAAGTATCATGTTAGCTAGTGCCTGACCGAATAAAGCTGTTTAAGCATTAGATTCAATAAAAGTCGTTTACTCACCAGAACGATTAATAGCCATGCAAGTCTTAGTTAAAAGACATCGAAACGTAAAACACATTTAAATTACACACATACTACTTTTCATATATTAAGGATTACCACTTTTACTAGGGAAGGACGCTTGAGATGTGAAAACACGCTAAAAAAAGAAATCGGGACAGCGGCGCCACTTTCAAATTCAGGCACCAGACGCCAGTACATCGTGAAGTTTCAGGGCGTCTTCTTGCGTCTATGCAGCTTTAAATTGCTCTAGATGAGTTAGAGTGATGTCTGAGCGTCTCATAGACTTAATATACTAAATTTAAGAAAACTTAGTACAAATAGTGCCACGAAACACGATCAAAACATTTTGAAATCTCTGACGTCATCAGCGGTTCTTTAGATATGAAATCTAAAACTGGTACGTTGACCTTCAGGTTCACTTTGAAAGGTTGCGTGGGTGAAATTAAAGACTTTAATGTTTTCAGAAAACACTTCACTTATTTGGATCAATTCAATGTCTCGTTTTCATGTGGATTTAGGATGGGACAGAGAAGACTGTACAATGCATAGAACATAATTAAATGAGTACGATAAATTGCGTTGCATTGAGGTATGCAGTACGAAAAAATTGCTTATTTTGACAAAATAAGTATATTGTTTACAATAGCAGGTGCCTCGTTTCATAACACACAAGCCCGGTTTACTGAAAGACGCCCTCATACTGCCGTGTGCATAAGCTCGAAGATAATCAACATAGGTGTTTCAATATTAAAAAGTTGTAACTAATGAAGCGAGAAGTTACGTTGAAAAGTCACTGAATTTGTAAAAAGTCACTGAACGAGCTGCTGTTGAAACACTTGAATATGACAGCTCGCGGTCTGCCAGCAAAAGAATGAGGAACATTCCGGATACCAGCACTAGAAGCTCTCTGTTTGTTTGTAATATTGTGAAGTCTTTGTTCATTTCTATTTATATCTTACTCTCTCTCTCTCTCTCTCTTTATTTACTATTTATGCCCGAATACTGAATCCGAATACTATAAAGCAAATGTACCACGAAATATATCTGTGAGTTTATTGAGCTGGCTGATATATGAAAAATCGAGCCATGGACAGAAACACACTGACAAAACAAAATCGTTTTCCTCGCGTATTGAGTGCCAAATTTCCAGTGAAGGTCGTGAATTATTCAATTTTTTAAGATAGGATTCCCAGTGGCCTGACAGATCTCATCAGAGTTACGGAAACTGATGGATAACTTCCAAAAGGTTGAATATTAGATGACTCAAAGTCATTGATAAGAAGGTGCATATATAGGTCTTGGTGTTTTTAAATTGTTTGAAACCAGGTTCATAACTTGAGATAATTGTGTGGCCTTCTCGATTTGTGCAATTTTAAAAGATTTATGCAAACTATCGACGCTTTTGTGGTGAGCAGATTATAATCTGTTCTGGTGAATCCCGTAAAAGTCGATTTAATTAGTGAGTTATGAGGCATTGGCTTTAGAAGTAAGTAATTCCATAACCATTTAGTACACACTGTTTCTAAAAATGCATTTGTAGTCGAAAAAAAAGGCAGATCTCACCCAAATTGAGAATCGATGATATGCAAAGCTTGAACGAGGAAGGTTTATAGGTCACTCTAAAATCAGCACAACGTTGAAAGGCGGATGTAAAATGTGTCGTATATGACTTTCTTGCTATTATTATCATGTTTGGCCGTGTCAATAACCTCTATTGTCTATTCACGTCACGTTATACCAAATTTTGTATATGTGGAGGAGAGTGACGGCCGCAAGTTCCATATGAGCGTAGCAAGTACACATGTTTTACAAGACACGCGTGTCCTGATTATCAAGTTTGGACGTGTCAATTACCTTTGTCGATCGTTCGCGTCACGCGATACCCAATTTAAAATATGTGAGGCTAGTGAAACAGCCGTGAGCGCATCATGAGCGTGGCATGTAGTCAAGTTGTTACATGATACGCATCTCATAATTATCATGTTTGCACCAGTTATCATGTTTGCGTAAGATCTGCCTTTTTTCGACTACAAATTCAGTTTTAGAAACAGGGTGGGCTAACTGGTTATGTGATTATTTACTTCTAAAGCCAATACCTTTGTCTTTGATTCATGTTACGTAATACCAAATTTGGTATATGTGAAGCTAGCAAAACGGCCATGAGTGCATCATGAGCGTGGCATGTAGACATGTTCTTACATGATACGCTTCTTATGATTATCATGTTTGCACCAATAACATACCTCCGTCACTCATTCCTGTCACGTAATACAAAATTCGCTATACGCGAAGCTATTGAAACGGCCACGAGTGCATCGTGAGTGTGGAATATGTAGTCCAGTTCTGACATGACACGTATGTCATGACTCATGTTCGCACCAGATATACACCTTCGTCATGCATTCACGTCCTGTAGTACGAATTTGGTATGTGTGAAGCTAGCGAAATGACCGCGAGCGCACCGTGAGCGTGGCGTGTAGTCAGGACTCATGACTTGCATGAAATACATGTCATCATATCCACGTTAGGGTCTCTAACTTGTGTTCGCCATGCCGTCACATCATACCATAGCAGTTTTTTACATGCCATGTTAAAACCACCGCAAGAGCAGCAAGACCACAAAATGAAATCACGGTATGCAGGACATACATGCCGTAATAATAACGTTATCACTAGTCACTTATGCTCGTCAAACTGTCACGTCATGCCATACTAAATTTGATATGGTTATCAATAACGAAATGGCCAGGAGAGCTAAAAGTCTTAGGTGGCTAGATAGATAGATAGATAGATAGATTTGAAAAGTTAATTAGAGCATGAAAACTTGACACGATCGCTCACACATGCACACACCCATGCATCAAGCACACACGGGTGTGTGCGTGTGTGCGTGATCGTGTCAAGTTTTCGCGCTCGAAATAACTTTTCGAAATGCTCTACTAACAAGCCCAACAACAAGTTCTTTTATATCATAGATAGATAGATAGATAGATAGATAGATAGATAGATAGATACGCTCAAAGTCGCAGAAGTTCGCCATGAAATTCATCGCATTTAAAAACGTCATTTCTAAGTTGCATTATTCTCTCGCTCGTTCTTGATAACTTATCAACACATATTTTAAGGACACTGCCCAACTTGACAATGACATATTTCAGTTGTCCATACACTCTGTTAATAGACAGAGTTGTAATTTCATAGACACTAACTGTATTCACGTTATATCTCAACAGTGGAAAACATGCGAGACAAAATTGCGCTTGATTTGTAAAACGTTCTGCAGATGTTTAGACGCTTGAGACAAAGCATTGAGAAAGCCTGCCAACTTTATGGACACTGTACAGAAATGTCTATAATCTTTTTTTAGGGATAACACGACTTATATCGCAGAATTTATTAACAAAACCTCACAAAAACCACCAACTGAAATGAGGTACAACAGTTCCACAGGTGAGCGTTTGTCAATTAGAAGTCTGTGTTCAATTTTTAGCCGCTATACATCTACCAAGAGATGCAAGTTGAAGTGACAAGAACGCTGATACGCAGATGAAAGATGATTTATAGAATTGCTGAAGCCGATCAGGCGTCAGGAATCGCAAAACGAAAACAATTTTATGTGTTCATTACTATGGTTATTGCCTTGCATGTCTGTACTATATGCATTGTAATAAAAAAATGGCAGACCCCATGTACATTGAGAATAGATTATATACGACGCACCAATGAGGAAGGTAAATATGTTTTTTTTAAATCAGCAGAACTTTACGAGGCCGACGTAAATTATGCCGTACATGGCTTACATGTCCAGATTATCATGTTCATGCCTGGCATTTTTGTTTGTCGTTCATTCACGTTACGTAATACCCAATGTGGGATATATAAAGCTAGCGAAACAACCACAAGAGCGGTGAAAGCAAAGCTTGTAGTCATGTTTTAAATGGCACGCATGTCATGAATATCATGTTTGGAGGCGTCATTTACCACCATCGTCTATTCACGTCACGTAACCAAATTTGGTATATGAGGAGCTGCGATATTGCCGCGAGCACGCCATCACCGTAGCACGTAATCCTGTTTTACATGGCACACATGCCATTATTTTCATTTGGACGTGTCACTTACCTTCCTCGTCAATTTACGTCACCTAACACAAAATTTGCTCTATGTGAAGCTAGCCAAACGGCCGTGAGCACGGCAAGCGCGTAGCGTATGGTCGTGATTTACATGACATTCATATCATGATTTTCATGTCTCAACGTGTCATTTACCTTCCTCGTATATTCACGTATAATATTACTAAATTATGTATATGTGAAGCTAGCCAAACGGCCGTGAGCACGTTAAGAGCGTACCTTGTAGTCGTCGTTTACATGACATGCCTATCACGATTATCATATTCGGATGTGTCACCTTCCTCGTCTGTTCCCGTCACTTATTACTAAATTTGGTATATGTGAAGCTAGCCAAACGGCCGTGAGCGCGGCAAGAGCGTAGCTTGTAGTCGGGATATAGATGGCATTCGTATTATGATTCTCACGTTTGGACATGCCATTTACCTTCCCCGTCTATTCACGTCACAAATTACTAAATTTGGTATATGCAAAGCTACCCAAGCGGCCATGAGCGCGGAAAGTGCGTAGCTTGTAGTCATGTTTTACATGACATGCACATGATGATTATCATGTCTGAAAGTGTCGTTTACCTTCTTCTTCATTCATGTGACGTAATATCATATTTCGTATATGTGAAGCTAGCTAAAAGGCCGTGAGCGCGGTAAGAGCGTAGCTTGCATTCGTGTTTTACATTCAGATTTAGGTGCATGGTAAAGAACCCTAGGTGATCGAAATTTCCAGAGCCCTCCACTAAGGCGTCTCTCATAATCTTAAGGTGATTCTGGGACGTTAAACCCCACACACAAATTAATCAGTCGTAATTTACATGAAGTGCATATTATGATTATCATGTTCGGACGCGTCATTTAGCTTCCTCGTCCATTCACATGAAATATTACCAAATTTAGTATATGGGAAGCTAGCCTGACTGCCGGGAGCGCGTTAAGGGCGTAGCTTGTAGTTGTGTTTTACGTGACAGTCACATAATGATTATCATGTTCTGGTGTGTCACCTTCGTCGTCTATTCATGTCAAGTAATATCAAATATGGTATATATGAAGGTAGCCAAACGGCTTTGAGCGCTGCAATAGGTTAGCCTAAAGTCGTGTTTTACAAGACAGGGATATCATGATTATTATGTTTGGAGCTGTCGTTTACCTTCTTTCTCTATTCACGTCACGTATTAAGAAATTTGGTACACGTGAAGCTAGCCAAACGGCCATGAGCGCTGTAAGAGCGTAGCTTGTAGTCGTGTTTTACATGACTTGATATCATGACTATCATGTTTGGACGTGTCATTTACATTCGTCGCCTGTTCATGTCACGTAATACCAAATTTGGTCCATTGGGAGCTAGAGAAATGGCCACGAGCACGCTATCATCATAGCATATAATCATGTTTTACATGGCACAAATGTCATGAGTATCATGTTTAGACGTGTCATTTACCATTGTCGTGCATTCATATCAAGTTACGCCAAATTAGGTATATGTAAAGCTAGCAAAACGGGAGCAAGCGCACTATGAGCGTGTCATGTAGTAATGTTTAACATGATACACATGTCACGATTATCATGTTTGAAGGTGTCACTTACCTTCGTTCTCTATTCATGTCACGTAATACCGAATTTGGTATATGTAAAGCTAGCCAAACGACCGTGAGCACATCATGAGCGTGGCGTGTATGACGTAAATGTTATAGTTATCATGGTTTTCTTGTTATGTTCTGCCACTTATGTTCGCGATGCAGTCATGTCATACCACACGAGTTTTTTTCAATATGACCTGTGAACGAAACTGCCGCAAGCGCAGCAAGACTATGCAATATAACTTATGACATTCAGGACATACATATCATGATTTTCATGTTATGTCTGGTCACTTTTGCTCATCATACAGTCATATTATGCATACTAATTTTGACATTCATACTATCATCGAAACGTAGAGGAGAGCTAAACGTCGTAGAAAGCTAGATAGATAGATAGATAGATAGATAGATAGACAGATAGATAGATAGATAGATAGATAGATAGATAGATAGATAGATAGATAGATAGATAGATAGATAGATAGACAGACAGATAGATAGATAGATACGCTCCAAGCCACCGAATTTCGCCAAGAAGTGGTTCGCTGTTAAAATTACTGACCATCGCCCTGATGCAAACCATAATAGGATGCGAAGCAAACAGCAGTGGTGCATTCGCCATTGACCTGGTTGAAACGGGCGTTCACGTGGGTACTGGAAGAACGGTTTGAAGCGATAATCGGTGTAGCCTGTGCTCGAGTAACGTTTCTTTGAAACGCAAAGACACGGGTGGTGGGTTGGGTTTTGTGTACTTTTCTTTCCAGATAAACGAGCTGAAGAAGTGTTTCCACTCAACGTGCAGTCGAGTGTTGCGGATGGTAGAGAGGGTGAAGCGAGAGAGAAGTGTGTGTCGAGCGGGTGCAGGAGCAACATCACCTAAAGGTGTCGGAATGAACCCTTCAGCTGCTGCTGGCATGAATCAACGCGCAGTTTCTCCTAGACCTACATGGCATCGTTCTAACAACTGCGCCGGGGGGAGGGGGTGCGGTGTAGCGCGTTCACACTCATGGCTCTTTCACACCGAAGGTGAGGCGGCCAAAGTGGTGAGGCGCAACCCGGAAAAAGGGAATAACCTCTTCTCTAGGCGGTGAAAACGGGCGAAAAACCAGGCGGCAAGGGCAATCGCTCTCGGAGCAATTTTAAGCCGCCTGCCGAGGCTTGCCGCTTCGCCGCAGCTATTCAGAATGCAACGCAGTGGAGGCGCGGTGGTGGCGCGGGTGTACGTTTGGAAGAAGCACTCACACATCATAGCGACACGCGCGCAAAAGCGCGAGTTGCCCGCCTCTTCTGCCGCGCGGCCAGCCGAAGGAAGCATGCGGTCTAAACTGGTTCACGCACTCACCGCCTCGGCACTTCGAAACTCCCGCTTTGACGCTTTGTCGCGCCACCTTCGGTGTGAATGAGCCTTTGAGAGATGGACAGAAAGCGTTACACCGGCGAGTCAAAAACCTGCTTCACATTTGTATCACGAATGAATTCGGTTCAAACGAAGCTTCTACCAACTGACCTGAATACCTGGTGACGGTGTTTTAAAATGCTTCCTCACTTACAGAATTGACGCGCCAGCGAAATAGTCTTGAATCCAGGGCTGCTGATTCAGCACGCTTAACTCCGGTTGCAAAGCGACTGTCTAGAACTCGAGACATAGCAGCCATGCTTGCCCGTAACCTAACTATGCTAACGCCCTCTGTGGACAAATCAAAGCGCAAAAAAGAGGCAGTGTATATGCTATATGCGCTTGGATAAAATATTTTATGTTCATTGAATAAAAGCGTTATCCTGGAGCGATCATGGCATCTTTATGCTCTTTTTAGCATACATCACCCTGAAGGATGGCCCAGTGAAATGATCTTGAGGCGAGCATAAAACTCTGCGTAATAATGACCTTTTTCGAAGTCCAAAGTTTTTAGACATGTGCAATATGGAATATTCGTAGTGATCATTGGGTGCTCTAAAGGCAAAACGATGATACACAAATGGCATAAAAATTTGGGCTTCAACAGCTTTCGTGAAAATTTGAAGTTTTCTTTACATACCATTCGTTGCGACATGACAGAATAGTGGTCTGAGAGCACCATTGCAAGCAACCTGCCCCCCCCCCCCCCCCGCGTTACATCCCCTTTATTCAACGCCATGTCACTTTCTTTCCGGGCAGCTTGTCTTTCTTTAATGGCACCATTGGCGACACCATGTGAAGTGGCCTACGCACAGCTGTCAAGTAAGGTACTCGGCGAACTTTCCGCATATATGGACACAAATATTTTCCTTGACGGAATGACTTTTGTGATATAAAGTAGCAAGCTTTTCTCGTGGGACGTCTGCGTTTTGTGTAGATTTAGATGATTACGTTACGTAAGGTGGCATGGTCCTTCAGCTCAATAAGTCACCTCAGCTTACCTGAAAACCGAAAAAGTACCGTTTTGAGAGCAAGGAGAGCTATTGTTGCTGTAGTAAGTAAGTACCAAGTTATCAGTTGCCAGAGTTTACTGCACCTCGAGAGTGACTATAAACTAAATTATCATGTACACTGGCAGCGCAGAACCCGGAGCTGTAGTTGTTCAGGAAGTATACGAACTCGTAAGAGACATTCCTTCCGTGGGCTAGTGGCTATTGTAAGTAGAAGCCACGTATACCAGCACGCAAGAATAATTTGTTGCTTCTGTTAAGGTGAAAGCCTCAAATGCCTTACTAAACTCGAAAAGTCACCATCGGCGTTGGCCGCCCCAACACCTAAGATAAAA